AATTAAAATAAACTGTAGTCGAGGGTATTGAAAATACAAAAGAATAATAAATACAAAAATTACACTCATAGTTAATAGAAAAGATTAGAGATAAAATGAGGGAGCTAGTTCCAAAAAATAGTTTGAAAAGATTTAACTATCAAGGTCAGTTTATGTTAGTTTATACATTATCTCTAATTCACTATCTTTTCCCCCAAAAGGTGTGCTCGGATCTTTTTCTTGTATAATTTAAGACACTGAATATTCAGCTTTTCAGAAGAAAGTGCGAGCTATAAGACTCATTGTTAGGTAAACTCAAAGCTTATTAGTGTTAAAGAAAGAACTGTGCCCTACACATTCACATAAGTTTCAGGCTACTATGTCTTGGTACGTGGACTGCGACAAAAAAATATGTTTATTTCGTGCACTTTTTCGTTTTTACTCGACTCAGATTCATTGGATGAAAGTTCTGAGTTTGAACCAAAATAAGATGAGATTTCATCTCCTGTTTCCAGTTTTTTCGGCTCTACTACAGGTACGGAGATATTCACAAAAACAGCGCCCTCTATAGCGTAGAACAGTGAATATCTATGTATTTCTTTATCGCAGTCCACGTACCATCCCATGGTTTAATGCTAATGTATTATGAGATGAATTAGAGAAGAGTCAAACTGGTTTTGCTGAATATGAAGAATTTGCCCGATATTGTTTACCAAACATTGGGTATGACAATGATGAAGAAACAGATCATTTAATAAAATAATGTGATAAAGATAAAAATAGTGATTGTTCGGCTGATGAAATTCTCAATGTTTATTCAACATTTTCGGATAGCCGAATGACTATTTTCCGTACTGATCTCGAAGTACGAAATTATAAATAAATAAGTTTAAACAACAGATACTTTGTTTTTATTTGTCGATCACAGAGGGAAAAAAGGATGAATATCTTCTCTTTCATTAAAATATGCACTTCTCGTTGTTCCTCTTTTCTGATGAATTTTGAATCAAAGCTGTGAACTTTCTTGTTGTTTGTTGGTAATCTCGTCATATAAAATGTCATTTATTTCGTGTCATTTCTTTTATTGTTAAAATTCTATTTTTACATTTTATTAGCGAAAAGATAATTGTTACAACATGGATATTGGAATAAAAATAGATCAACTTTTTGCGCGTTTTATGATTTGCCCAGGATAAAAAAAAACAGATAATGAACAGCCAATTTACAGTCTGTTAAATGTTTGAAAATAGTCTCGAAATTGTATGGTTTACTGGCTACTTCTTGACCGTCTAAACGAACAGTCGAACAACATCCTGTTAATCGTAAAGTCAAAAAACAAACAATTAACTGTCTTGTTAATGGGCTGTTTACAGACAGTTAACTACGTGCTTTGTGGCTGTACAGTTTTCAGTCTGTTGTTTTAGACGGTCGAAAAATGGCGAATAAACCTGGAGTATTGAGACTGTTTACGAGAGGTTCACAGGCTGTTAACCGGCTGTGTTTACACAGACTATAAATTATCTGTTAATGGGCAGTTTTTAGATTATCTGTATTCAGCCATTGTGAGTTACAATGTGCTTGCTTTATTTTTAAGTTTTGAAAAACAGTCTGACAATACCCGCTTAACAGGTTGTAAACAAGCGGTTAACAGCGTGTATAAGTGACTTTTATCGTCTCACGTATGTTTTGATGGTTAAAATAATCGATGTGCCTCGCAATAAAGAAAACAATTCTCAATGTTGTTCTCCGTCTTTAAAATCAACAAATCCATTTGTCAGATAACTCAGGATAATTAAAAAGTTGTAGATAAACAAATCCATTGAATCACTTGTTCTTTCTTCGCTAGAATTTGTCTATTTATTGTCTTAAATACGTCTTAATGTGCATTGTCTGTATCATATTCTTCCGTTCAATGATCTATTTCTTCATCCATTGTTATATGTGGTATTGATAGATAATATCGAGCAATCATACACGTCCAGCGATCGATCGAGAACTAAACACCCCTCCATAATAGAAGACCATCCCCTATTAGAAGACCACTACATGACCTGAAAGCTAAATAGAAGACCACACACAAATACTTCTATTATGTCCACCAAAAAAGTCGAAAAATGGGTAATTTCCAAAAAAATTTCGCCAAAATGTTCTTTGAATAGGGGACGGACGTCAAGTATGTGAGAGGTTAGTGCTGGATTACCAGCAGGCGACAAAATTTAGCTGCAATATAAGACCATCCTTTAGAACTCGACTTACGGGACAAAATAGAAGATCAGGTGGTCTTCTATTATGGAGAGGGGTTTAGTTGTTAAGTAAATAAATATTGTTGTCATATAAAATGTTATTTATTTCGTGTCGTTTTTTTCTTGTTAGAATTTTGTTATAAGAGATAATTGTTGAAAGAAAGATATTAGAATAAAAATGGATCAATTTTTGTGCATTTTTTGATTTGATGTATGAAAATATTTGAAACTCTGTATTAATATAATTGCTGGCCATCTTAATACATTAATTTCTTTAGCCATAATCAATGTGCATTTTTTACATGTTGTTTTAGATAAATTTGATTGAAAAAATTGTTGTATTTATTGGTGAAGATGAAGTGACACATCAACATTTTGAAAAATAATATATGGATAAATTTTAACATATTTCATTTTAATATTACAATCAAATGTTAGTAAACAAACAATGTCACATCCAATTGCTCTACCGATAATTGGTAAAATAACATTTGGAATAATTTTATTCATTAATGAATTTAGATTTTTATCATCTTTGTAATTTACTGGTATTGAGGATAATATATCATGAAACAAATCAGTATCTGACATAATTCTGTTATTTTTTTAAACTTTGTTGATTAATAATTTTTGTTGTTGTTACGATTTTATCTGTTAATTCTTCATTAAACTGCTTATTTAGATTCGCTCGTAAATATGTTCGAACTTTAACTAACGATAATGAACAACAAATTACCATTTTTATTCAACTATCAATTCCATAATGGTTTAGATTTCGAAATTTAAAACCATTATTTATTTGGGATAATGTTAATGTAAATGTGTCATTTAATTTATAAATAATTCTATCGGGTGGTGCAAATTGATAATAACCACTACCTCTTCTGGTCATATTTCTCTAACTTTCTTCTAAGCTTTTAAGATGAACTAATGCATTAGTATGATCACCTTTTCTTAAATAATATTTCTTCCATATAGCCTGGTATTAAATGTAACATATTTTCAATAAAAATATTCATAACCACATCAATTTGACTACGAATAATACCACCTAAAATATAAATTACAGAAGTTTCACGAGAGTTCGATGAGTATACTTGAGAGATAAGATGAATGAATAACGGTATTCTTCTGCATTTTTTCAACGCATGATGATTCAGAATACTTTTTCTTTCTGTTTACATTCTTCATGTATCGTTTTATTTCGGCAGCCAAAAACGAAAAGAATCGTCATATATTTCGCTTTGATTTACTTCACATTTTATATATATTTTAAATTATGATGATTCGGTATTCCTTTAACAACAGATACCTGACGTCATATTCGAAAAAGAAAGCCTGCCAGAAAGCCATTTTTCGAGATATATAAGAATCGTTAGAGGGTGCCACTACCCACTTAGAAAAATGATCCAACTTGTAGATAGCGCCACAAGTATTTTCGAGTGTGTGATGCACCCTTTAACGATTTCGTCCGCTTCTGTCATATAACGCCGTTGTTTGTGGCTCCCACTTGATACAGATATAATAACGACATGACGAAACATGACATATCAAAAACCAATTTTCTTTCACATCGTTCCATTAATTTGCATTATTTATTAAGGATTTAAATCAGAATCCTAAAAATAAGTGATCTAAGGTTCGATATACAAGTGTAATACACATTTATGAAGCAAAAAGAAAGCTCTTTCTTTTGTTCTCATAGAGGTTATTTGTTCGTTAGAAAACATAATGAATATCTGACAGAAATATCCTATATCATGATTATGGCATAGTACGCTAAGTAAACATTGTGGTACACTCCTATATTGAATCTTAGATCTACTGTCACTTATTGTCAAAATTCTGATTTAAAATATGTGCAACTGATGTTATTTCGATTAGTGGGACAGTCAACTTCGACCATTTCTATCGACAATTTTTTGTACAAAAGACTTATGTGAAAAATACTGGCCGACTTGGATGTTCATCCTAGACACTTGTAAATATAAGAAACAAAGAGTACATTCTTCTTTAAACTTTTCATTCTCTTTTTAGCTAAAAATGGTGAACATCTCGCATTCCGAATCTTACTCTTTGCAGAGAGTTTTCCATCGTTTGCAAGTGGAATAACACGATGATTCAAAGAAATAATACGACGTTTAGCTAAAAATGGTCATCATATTGATGTTATTACAGATTGTAACGTGAGTTCTTGTTCAAAAAAACATTACAACACACAATGACTTGCTTTTTCTGTCATTTAGAATGCTTCGACTCGGACAGATGGTAATGATTTATAGCGTGAACATGTAATACTCTCCATATTACCATCAACAGCTTTTACAAATAAAATTGACTGTGGCCATTCTTATTTTCACATGTACGTGCTCTTGTCTATTTCATTGTTAGGAAAGATAATTGTTTTTGTTTTCGCATGGTGTCTAGACTAGGGTATAATTAAGCCACTAAAAAATGTATGGTATCAGTTCGTGATCCTTGCATCTAAAGTAAGTTTTCTTTTCCTTTTAGCCAAGTATTTGTTGTAAAATTCTTAATTATCAATCTGATGTCGTGTATGTTGGTGAACAAACGTCGGCAGCAATGATGTGTGATGTATTTGTCAAAGCATTAAAATGTCCCAATTGTGTAGTCATTTGGTACAAACATAGATTTTTATTTATCAACCTATGTGTATCCATACGGTGTTGAATTTGCAAGAAAAATCTGTCAATATATTCGTTTGAAACATTTATTATATTCATCAATTAATTTGACTGTCAAAATTCTGCCGCTTTTATGAAAAAAACTGGTGTACCAGTACCTGTTCTTGTACGGAAAATGAGTGTTGATTCTGATCTATATCATGCACAACGTACATCGTTAACAATGCGTCAACGTATGTTTGGTACAAAACATGGTTACACTATTGTTGAAATGAATAAAATCACATTATTTGTATGTGTCGAACGAATTTCACCGGAGAAAAAGTTTGAATTTTATCATTAGTATTAGATCGTATTTCATGACAAACATTTTTATGTATTATTGGTATCCATTTCGACAAACATTAGAATCATCATTTTCTATCGATCGTGTGTATTGTTTTGGCTACTTAGTTTTGTTTTGGCTATTCAGATGAAAGAATTTTTATCATAATGGTGAACATGGCCAGATATGGAAACTGGGCGATTTCGAGGATGCTAAAAGGCTATTAGGTGTACAATAGAAGGACAAGATCGTTTGTGAATTAATATCAAAAGATAAGCATTAAAATATTCGTGGGATAATGCAGCTGATCAGCTAGATAATGTTTATGATTCAGTATTAATCAAGCATAACGATCACCATTATACTGTACCGTTCACATTTTTCGGATTATTCTATTATAAAATTGTATAGTTTATTTGTATTGGTTTAGTAATGGTTTTTATGCTTCCAGTTGTTAGAGTTTGTATTCCAATAATTCAAAATACCAGTACAACGGCAGCAACGTCGACAGCATTGTCGTCAAAAAATAAACAAAAGAATGATAATAATAATAATAATGATATCTCACTATTTTATAAAAATGGACTTCAAAAACAGACCATAATCACGTAAGAATGCTCGACTTTTTGTCAAAGCTGTTGTCTCGTCTCAGGTTGAAGAGTTTTGTAGAGTTTGTTTTATCGGATAATTTGTTGTTGTTCATTGTTTATCTGGTTGTTCCTTCTTTCGAACGATCTATATTTTAAAACTGCAGTCTGGTTTTTCTATATAAAAATAACTTACCTTGAATCTCGAGAAGTTACATTGTTTTGTTTTCTGTATAGTCAAATTATCATTCACGCATAAACTTTGTGATGCGCATAAACTTCTCTGCGCTTAGCAAACATCATACCAATATCCGTACAAGAACAGTAGGATATGTTTTTCTGCTTGTTACATTGAATGTATAGATTTTTGTATCTGTAGCTCTGACGTTTGTTAAGACATATGCGACGTATGTTTTTTATTTTCTTGTAATTTCATATTAATATCTATTCCCTGTTTTCTACTGTGATATGTTACTTATTAGACATTTCGCTTTCTCGCTCAACGCAATTTTCTCCTTCAATTGCTTAATATGACCTAATTTTTTGTTAACATACCAGATAATCTTTCTTGCTCTTATTCTTTCTTATTGATGCCGATGTTTTATTGTATTCTTTAGTCGTGTATATTCGGACTTATTTTATATTCAATGTATGTTATTTAAATTTTCATTAGATTAATCCATTCTCATTATCATCCTCTCGTTTTTTTTATATTCTCAGCTATAAAATTTCTGTACAATTTTGTATCCTTGTTTTTTTTCTTGTTTTGATCTAGAAAGTTACACTAGTTCAGTTAAATATAATATGGAATGTTAAATATTATGCTTTTTGGTTTAATACAAAACTCTTACGTAAAAAAAACAGCGCAACACATTTTTTGTTATAGTCTAGAATATTGAGTTTTCTTTGTTTTTTTGTGACGTGTATATATTTTTTTTCTATGCACTGAAAAATTATTTGTTTTGGAAAAAATGAACTTTTATCTATAAGGATTACTGCAACGAGATAAGAAATTTTTTTTACTCCGCTTCATCGACTTATTCATTTGTCTTTGACGTAATTTTCTTATCATTCCCAATAAAAAACCAGGAGTTCCTCTTATTACTAGTCAATAGCGGATAGGCAATGTTTCGTTTGTTTACCTGCAGTGTAATGGAATAGTATTCATCTATAATGAGAACTTTCTTGTACTTTTTATTTAGTGTCCTCAATGTGGATTGTTCCAGATGAGATCAAGAATATCTGCAGTTTGTGCGCTCCGATGTTTAAGATGTCTAGGTATGTAATGGAAATCGAGAGAGAGAGAGAGAGAGAGAGAGAGAGAGTTATAAATGACAACTACAATCCATGCTCATCTCTTGCCAAGGTTTTAGACAATTATTCTTTGCGTTGTATGTGTCAGAATTTTGTTGTAAAAGTCTCAAAAAACTGTCTTCGAAACGAAGTGACGAAACAGCTTGAAATAGTTTGCAGTTCGACTTCTCTCTGCCTTACCGACGGACAATGAATTATGTGTGATTACATTTGTTTTTCTCCGTACAATTTTGCCGGCCGTCTTCTGTGATAATTAAACAGATGTAACGCCATTTAATCCGATCAGTATATCTTTATATTTATTATATTATAGATATAATAACGTATATAAAGAACGTCTTCGACGGTGTCGTCAAAACAGAAAAAACTCAAAGTCGTCTATCGACGATGATATCAAATTATCTCAAGATGGTACACGTTGAATAACATTTAATGTAAATCGATGGTGATTGTTTATGTCGATATGATAATTGTTTAGCATTAGGGAAACAATTTTGTCGCCGCCATAAGGACAAGCACTCAGAGCAAAACATTAATAATGAAAAAAATATTGTAGTAACAATAGAAAATGATATCATAAATAATGCTAGTAGCAGTGATAATATACATTGGAAAAGAGTTGAATTGTAAATTCTATCCAATTCTCAACGCTATGTTTTTGATGAGCAAGAATTTCAATAATTATACGAAATAGACAATTGTATAATATAATTTCGAGAATATTGCCGAAGACATGTACATTTCACGCGCACAATCAGTGATAGTAAACATTTTCTTGGCTTAACAAATAATAGTTTATATTAGACTCTGCTTTCTCTGTTTATTTCTAGTATCACCGGACAAAAACATAAATCTGATAAAATGACGGCAAACAATGAGACAGTTAAGACTAATTACGTAGAACAAGAACAACAGTTAATACCACAGAGAGATGATGGTAAAACAATCAAAATTGGGCGTCGTGTACCATTTTCTGATAAATGTTTAGGTTATCAATGCATTAATTTGGATGACTTCTTCGTATATGATGTGTTACCACTATCAGAGGTTTTCATTCACTCCTGAGTAAATTGGCTATGTAATAGAATCTCTAATTTTTGAATGTTTTAGCTAAAAAATGGAGTTGGTACTGCATAACGGATAATTGTACTGAAATTGTGTGTTGTCAATCATGTTGTTTTATTCATCTGGCTGAATTTATTCAAAAAAAATTGATCAAAAAAAAGAAAAAAAGTTGGAAAACTGAGAACAACAACTGGTTGACAACTGATTCGACAAGCAGCACAAGTACGTTTCTCAGGGTGTCGATAATGCATTATCGAATCTTAGTCACTTTTTGTGTTTCTAACTTTTCCAAAAGGTTTACAGTTTGCTATAGGATGAAGAGAATGCTTTTTGTTAGATGAATTGAGCTTTTAGTACGACCTGTACATTTTCACTTTATAAAACACACTGCAATATAACAAAAAATGCTAATAGAACGCTCGTTAGAGTCTTACAACAAAATAAAGTACGATTTCTCTACCCACACACCGACCTTTCTACTAACCAGCATTAGTGTATCAAAAATTGAACTACAAAATATATGAAAATTTTTTGTTAGCAGCGTATGCCGTGTTTGTGCTCGCTCTCTTAAGTATAAGAGTTATTAGATTTTAGAGAACATTTAACACTGTTAGCGGTATTTATCTCTGTTTGCACACGATTCGATTGACGTTTTAGCTTCAAATTAACTCAGATATTTTGAATAAAAAATATGTTGAACTATTGGTTCAGGCCAATTTATTTTGTCCATTTTAAGGAGTAAAATAGAAAAAACTGACAGTATGCATTTTACTTTATCAACAACAACATCAAGAACAAACCACGAACAATCAAAACAAACGATATTTTTGTAATGAAATGAATCCGATAACTGTCAAATAGGTATTATGTTTACTGTATTTATTATGGCTTAATCTTTATTTATTTCTTCTGTTAAGGATATGGAGAACGAATCACTAATCGTTCCCGATAATCTACCACCCATTTCACAGACATTACAAGATGTTCTTCGTCAATTTGAAATGAAAAAGAATAATTTTAATTTTAAATGTGAATGAATTAGTGATAGTCTCGGAAAATTGTATGATTATATTGAATAATTAGTTGTAATTAGAAAAATCTCGTTGAACTAGACATTATTTATCTTGCTTTACCCAAAGCAAAATTTCGAATAAGCTAATAAACATGTAGTGATAATGGGCATTTCCTTCTTTTCTTGTTGTGTCCATTTCTAAATGGGCTATGCTTCGCTTATGTATGTAAATCTTGCACTTCCATTTTTTTGTTTCATATTAGAAACTATAATGTATAACTGTGACAAAACAGATTACTCAAATAAACTTCTAATTCTTACGTTTTTTGTTTATGCTAGATAATTGCATTATAGAAAACTAAGAAAAATGTTTCATCACTTGTAGTTCTTGTTGAGCTCACCGATTATTTGTGACCATCACTTGACTCCTTATTCCTTAGTCAAAAGTCAGCATATTGCTTCCATTTCAGTCCAAATGTCTGCACCCAAACGTTTTCGAACTTTATAAAGAAATGTGAACGTGTTAAATGGAGTGAGAAAAATGGTTGATGGCTTCGTCAAAAATTGAACAATTTATCATTTTTAACGTCATCTTTTGTTCAAGATGATGATGAATAATATGTTATGTGCCCTCACTGCAACCACATGTTATATTTACATCACTTAAATGAACATCAAGAACTGATGAAAAAACATATGGATGAATTGATCGATGAAGTAAATCAAGAAACATCCCAAAACAAGTAAGTATGATCATTATTCATGCATCAAATTGAGTAGAATTCATAAGAAGTAAACAAGAAAGAAGTTAAACAATAAGAAGAGAAACAACAGTTAACATGCCAGAAACAGTTTGAAATGTGGATAATTCTAATTTGTATTTCTCATGTAAGTCTGTGATGGGGATATGTTTTAAGTTCCCTCTTGACACGGCTAGCTAATTGTGGTACCGTAAAAATGTTTTATCATCATTTTGTTTTGTTTAGAACTCGTAAACCAAACGACAGAGCTGAGACGTGTTTTAAAGTGTTCATAGCAGTTTTTTCTTTAATTTAAGACATGTCACAGCTGTATGCGTCGTTGCATTTACGATTTATAAACAAAACAAAATGGTGGAAAAACGTTACGAAAGTTCTTTACAGCAGCAGAATTAACTGACCGTGCCGTTCATTTTAATATGTAGTTAGTTTGTAGAGAATCGTATTCATCTTTAAATATGACAGGTTTTGAACCGTACTTATTTTATCCATAATGGTGAAGAATTTTGAAGTTTAATATCTTCATTTCATTTTCAGGCATTAAATTTGGCCGATAATCGCAATGGTTTATTTGAAAAATTAAAACAATGGCGTCACAATTCGATGTTGCGTATTGAACAGTTATATCATTAAAAATTAAATGATATTGACAAATTGTACGATGAATCAAATGATGAATTTGACTAATATAAATAAAACAAATTAAAACCGATTATTGAATAAATGACAGTTGCATGTGAACAATAAACACGAAGAAAAACGGTGAATATTTACGATATAAATGAATTAAAAGAGCAACTAACGAAGAAAAACTTTGGAAACCTATCTAACACGAAATAATCTATTTTTCACTATTTTCACCGAAAATTAATAAAGTAAATTCATTCAAAGTGCTTCAAAATATCAAGATATATTCTATTTTATCTGCTTAACCGCATTTTCTCGTAAAAATTTGTAGGAAACATTGTCTTATTTCTGATACTTTCTAGAAAAACTTCCATAAACCAAAATACTGACTTTTGGTTTTTTGGAACGATTATTGAAGTTCAAGGTGTAGTACACGTAAAATGGAATATATCTTGATATTTTGAAGCAGTCTGGAGCAACTTTCATTTTTTAATTTTTTAATATTCAGATTTTGTTCAACGAGGTACACTATGGTAGACCTGATCGAAACACCTAACTTCCTTCATAGTTTCACTTCTCATCACTTCAAACTTTCTCTATCAAATATTGAAAACATCTTGGTTCTAACTCTCATTGTTACAAAGTAATTCAAAAAGTGCTGGAGATATTCACTTTATGAACGGATGTGTGTTCTGACTTACACACGCAAACTGCCGTTAAACACTCATTTTACATTTATTTTAGATGTTTAACAATGAAAATATTTTGGATACATATGCTTAAAATTTAAGAACTTTTGGACCACAAGTGCTGAGCTTTATACATGTCTTGAATTACCTAATAATATGTTACAACGAGGTCGACCATGGTACAAAAGATAGTTTGGTACATTTTAAAATATTTTAGGGTCTGCAACAGTATGAATTAAACGAAAGAACTATTTTTTTCTCTGATTTTGTTCCCCTAAGCGAAAACCTTAGCTGCTCTAAAAAGTTTTTATTTGTACGTCTTTTTCATCGATTCCATTCTAAATTTATTCACTCATACAGTCTTTAATTAGTTTCACTCCAAATTTAATCCTATGTACGTTTTTCTAGCTGATTTTACTCTAAATCTAACTATTTTCACAAATCTTTACTCGATTCATTATAGAACGATTTGTTCTTACTTTTTTCATTCATTTTACTCTGTATCTGTTGGTATTCTCGTGGAATACTATAGCTTTGAGGTTTTCCAGGAGGTTTCTGGAAAACGTTAAACCAATGCCCAGCTGAAATTCAGTTTTCCGTGTTTGATTATGATTTGTGAGCTTTCTGAAAGTTTCCTTGAGTCAACATGAGATTTGATGGTGAGATAAGGATTTTAATTTTCACTTGTAACAGCCAAAAAACCGGTTTTTCACAAACATGCCTCTGGTGAAGTTATTTTTATCTCTACACAGAAACAAAATGTTGCCACTATGCTCAGCGTAGTCGATTATCTATATTCCATGGCATTTCGAGATTCCCAGAAATGTCTGCTCGGAGATAGACACATGCTCGGGGAAAGCAAGTCCTGTCCGAACGACAATAGCTGCAGAGCTGGGACTTCCATAATTTTGTAGAATAATATTCGGGCTACCTACTCATGCAACACAATGACTAACTTTGTATTAGTTTTCTGAATGCAGAGCTGATTTTTCAAGGATCCTCTGGAAAACTGGAGTTTCAGAACAGTTTGAAGCAAGTTTCTTGGCTACAAAAACGTGTCTTAGGGTCTTAGAACATGATGGTGAAAACCACAGGTCGCTATCTCATCTCTATCAAAAGTTATTTACAAAACAGCCAGTCGCACGGTGTTTTGGAACGAATAGTGGTCTTGTTTATATTTCTGTCTTTCCACTTTTTTGTTACTGTAAGCTTTTTTACTTTTATCCTTTTTTCGCTCATTTTAGTCTACAATGATTTATTTGTACGTTTTTACATTTATTTTTACGTAAATTTATATGATTTTTTCCACTTTGAATTAAGACGTTTTTTGTCATTCATAGTTTTTCGATTAAAAATTATTTATATGTTGTTTTCGGATGTAATTTTACTGTGAGTGTTCGAGTGTTGCAAATTTTTGTTCTTTTGCTGTAGTTGCAGAGACAAGTTCAGAAAATGCGTATTGCGACCGCTTGAAAATGATAATTATTACACCACAAAATTTTACGCAGTTAAGACTGTAGTCTATTAATTGTTTCCTATTAATAATTTGTCACTTATCAAAATGTAGCTATTCATGTTCTAATAGTAAAACGTCACATTTTGTACAGACCTAAAGTAGAAAAAAAGCTCAAAACGATTTCACTTATGTTGTAATGTTACTGCGAAAGTATGAAAACATAATGTTGTTGATGTTCATCACGAATCATTATTGTCGTACAAACACAAACAACGGTGTTCCACACGATTTTAAGCACACTAAAATATTCTTCCCAAATTGAAAAACACAGGAACCTTGTTATTCAGATATAAAAACAGTTCTATTTTTGGTCACAAATGAACAAACAAACATAACCTAAAGTAGAACATAATTAGTTTCTTCAAAAAAGTTCTGGTAAATAGCTTATTTATTCTTCAATAGATAATAATGTAATACGGCAACAAACCGTACAGTAGTTTAACACCGACAAAGAGATATATTCAACACAAAACGTGTTTTCGGCAGAAGAAAATTTATAAAGCTAAATGAAACTACAGCCTTAACACAACTTAACTGCCTTTCGAAAATAGTGAGCACTTTTTATACGTAATTGTTTTATTTTACTTTAGTAGTTTCTGTACGGTTAATACAGTAATAAATTCAGTAACCTAATATAGCGAAAGAGCGCAAAATCACAACAACTACTAAAATACAAATTTGGCTCACATAACAAACAAATATTTTTCATGCAATCTTGCGATTGCACTTTGTTGCAATTACCTTCTGTAGAAAGAGAGAAAGCAGCAGAAACTGTGGTACAATTATTAAGGCTTCAAAATACAAGGCAGTCGGTTATTTTTTGAATAACTTATGGCAGAAATGAGGTAGAGGTCGGCAGTTTTCGGTGTTCGACTGCCTACACTTGTATTCATCTTTACATAAGCCAAAATAAGTTTTAAAAGTTTCAAAGACCGAATTTTCAGGAAATCTTTAGAAAACTAGTTCGCAGCTCCCAGAAGTGACCTAGAAATATGCTGATTTTGTAGTGTGAACTGTCCTCTACAAAACTAGATATGAGCGACATCTTGGAAATTCATGGTTCGGAAGCTATGGACGTTTTCTTCGAAGCCTTAGCACCCCTCTGCCGTTAGGTTTGGGACTGTTAGAAATTAATGAAAACATAGGTTATTGACTATGCTGAATCTCGTGGCAATCTTGGCTTTCAAGACAAAACGCCAAGACAAAACAATAACCCATCTTTGATTATTTTCTTCAACAATTAAAAAATTCATAACGTAGTCAAAATCCATCCATCAGAATTGCAATATATACTCTGTTTTATCTGCAACATACCGTAAAGCTCAAAAAATGTTGAAAAAACCAACAGAAATACTTCGGTTTTTAGAAAGGTTTCGCGAAACCTTTGGAACAAGAGAATATTTTTTATTGATCTTAAGTACAGATCAGGATGAGCGGATTCTTTGCTTAATCAAATGCTTTATGCCATATAATAGTTCTTTAAATAATGAAAATACTTTTTCTTCTGTAATGCGAAACGGTAATGGAACATTTTATCACTACCTCTGTCGGAGTGTGTTTGAGGCTTCAAAAATGGACAACGTAAGTTAGTAAATAATCTAATAATAACATCATGAATTTATAATGTGCTAGGAGTGTTAATTAAGCGTTATTGTTCATTTATAATAATGGATAATACTTAATAATTCATCGTTTATATTTAAAAAATAGATATACAAGAAAAAACCTTTATCTTTATAAAATAAAGATAAGTGAGTCTTATATCTATAAAATCAATATTTGCTATGTAAATGTGCTTACTGAAGGATGTAGCACTTTATAACGCCATCTTTCTTGTCGTTCGTAACTGGTCGCGACATAATAGAACAGTAGACAATGAAACTATTGTCTAGTTTATTTATTCTTCTTCAACTTTGTATAGATCAAAAGCAAGTTGAAACACTTGTTTGGTTGATAAGGCAAGTATTCTACGGTAGTATGTAAACGCTTTCATTAGAAAAGAAAGTAGCTGCGCTAGGACAATTTTTAAACGAAATTAAATTCTTTCTGATCGAGAAGACGATTGAGCTTCTAGCCGCAGAAAATTAACCTTTATTATTCTGAGTGTAGACCTTGAATAATTTATCTTACTGTACACAGATCTTAGAGTACATAATGATTAGTTTAGTTACTCCTTATATGTTCGTCTTTTTTAGTTTTTATTCTTGAAACTGAATTAGTCTAACGTTTCTGTAGTCTTAAGATGAATGCATACCGATGAATGCGCAAGCAAAACAAGAGAGAAGTAGGAAAAGAGAAATAGTAAAGTACAGAGTAAAATAGAAAACGAGTAGAGTAGCAAGCAAAAGAGTAAACAATTTTGAAATGTTCCCTAAGACTCACTTATCTTTATTTTATAAAAATAATTTTATTTTCATTTATTTCTATTTATTTTATAAAACTACACCAAATTAACATCCTATTGTGCCTATTAATTTCTAAATGCGTTCAGATGCAATGATCAGATCAAGATATCTATTACAGTCATGTTATCATGATGATATCGAAGATGATGTGTATTAGAACGAATATTATAGTATAGGTGTATTGTCTGATTCTGAATGAAGTGATATACGATATTGATGAATTAAATTAAAATTTCGTGGATGATAATGTACAACTAAATAATACGAATGATGATGAAATAAATGTACAAAGAGGTGAAATACCATTATACAATGGTGCTGGTTTAAATTTAAAAGATTCACGTACTGAAATTTCGAATGGATCCAGATAGTTATTGCACAGCTATTGTTCCGAAACGCGAATATCAGCAACTTATTCGACGTTATGATGAACCATTTGTTACATTAATATTACATTGCGATGGTGTACAAGCATTCTTTGTTGCACCACCATCATATTTCGTGTATAAAAAGACAATATTTTATTATCTATGAACGTAAAAATATAGTCCTTGACCAATGTACATGTCTTTGGGTCGTGCTGGTGAAAAGAGAGTAGACAATAGCAGACTTGTCAGTGAGCAGTAGATTTTTTTCTAGGCTTTTTGAGCAGAAACTGATGGCATCCGTGGAGAACTTTGAATTGTGTGATGCTCAGTTGTAATTAAATCGTGATTTAGTGGATCACAATTTAGCAGTAGTCTGTAAGACACACATCTCTGTTCAGGGTAACTTATAGAATAAATTCTTTTTTTTGTTTTATGAGAGATACGTTACTTAATGCCGGTGTCTTTTATGTTCCTCTTTTAGAATATGTATTATCACATATTAAGTATGATTACATGCATTCTTCCTTGTTACGACATTCACGACGAACGATAACCGATTTGAAATTATCAGTTTCTAATAAAACAAAGTAGATTCAGCCATATTTGTATTAAATGTTAAACTCATCTGGATTAAATAAGTGTAGACTATCCAGATGAATTTAATCGTAAACGACGTTCAATACAAATCGTTACATCATGGAAAGCACAGGAACTAAGAATCTTTGTTCTTCATCTTGTTTCTGTTGCTTTTTACAACATAACCGCTTTGGATGCATATTGTCATATGTTAATATACTTATACGCATTAAGATTAGTTCATTGTGACTATGTTACTAATAATCAATCAAAAATAAGTGATGTATTGCTTAATTGTATATAAATACATTAATTGAAGATTATTCAATAAAATTAACTGGCTTGGCACTGCCCGTTCATTGTCATTATGCTGAAGAATTTGAACAATATAGTTCTACGACTACATCTTCATGTTTTTCAATGAGTAGCACGAGGCATTTTTATCATAAAGATGCACACGGTGTTAAAGAATTAATATCACAAGATATATATCATCGTGAAATGGAATTATTAGCTAAATATTATGTGGATTCAAATAAGGATCAAAATGAATCAACATCTTTATCAACATTATTAAGCATGAACAAGAGCATTCTTAATTTACAAACACATTGTTGCGTTTGTAAACAAACATTAGAATTCTATGATCGGAGTAAGCTTGAACATGTTATTTATCATGGACGTTCTTATAAACGACGTGGTAGTACTAACAATTACACAATAGGATATCATTATAAAAATGGCGAAATACATTTTGGGTATATCGAATATTTTGTTAATTGTAAATGTGATGTTAAAATCAAAATTAATAAATTAAAATAACAATATTCCTTATTGATTTACTTAAAACAAGTAAATATCAAGATGTTTTATCACGTCTATTGGATTATTTTTTTACAATGGTACATGAAGCAAGAAATACATCTGATATTAGTATTAAACAAGTATAGTGAAAATGTATTATTTATTTATTAAAAAAAAATGTTATTACACCACCATCAACAATATTTGAACAAAGAACTCTATTTTTTATGTTAAACCAAGATCTATTTTTGTTTTTATTTACTACATAATGCGTAGTCTTCTATTTTTTTGTGTGAAAGTTAACCAAGAAAAAGACTATGCTATCTGGATGTTGTTATATTTTTTTACGATAGTATCATTTACTTTCTAGTCGTTGTATTTTTAAGTGTAATACCAGAAGAATTTGAGTTGTTAGATCTTTTTTCAATTTTCTCAAATTATTATTAAGAGAAAGTCAAAGAGTAGATTTAGCGTTAGCCAGTATCGCTGTCACACAATAAATTGTTTTCGTAAAAATACCTCCATTCAATTCACTATCAAAAACTAGCTATATTCTATCATTTGTTCCTTTTAAGAACCGCCCTCTTAAGACATTTCTTTTTTACCGAAAGATTGACTTTGTGATTTTCATATGCTCAGATAACACTACAAACTGGCATGTTAAGTTTTTCAAGAAAATTTCGTATCTTTACTGATGTTTTTCATAAATCTCTTTTCCACATAAACTACCAATAAACTTTGATTTCTTTTCTTTTGTTTCCACTCTTTTATCTTCAGTCTCCGTTCAATTTAAATGCATCATAGTCAGGAACAAATAACAGCTATTTTTAGGGAATTCCAAAATAAAATTTTCTTCAACTTTTCCAAGAATTTTATGAAACAAATTGTTGACTTAGATGTTTATATAGTACATATTTCGATGCAGAATTGGATGTAGATCACGGATCTCTTATTTATTTTGAAGAAAAATATCGTGAAAAAATAATACTGTATATTTTTTTGATAATTGATTCGCTGTAATGTACAATATTTGATGGCATATTTCGAAACTTTTTGAATTTTGTAAAATTTTTCTGCTCATCTTATGTAGTATTAAATGTTGTATAAAAAAAATACAACCATATCACATAATCACAAACTTCAGCATCACACTAAACTACAGGTTTCTCTACGAAATCTGCACAGACCTTTGGCATTTCTGCAGCCAGATCTTGGCACATCTGCAAACGCTTTTCTGATCCGGATCTGCTTCCTCACATATTTGCAGAATCCTCTAAGATTTAAGACGAGCAAAATGAGGAGAATTTTGATAATAACTATTCACTATATATTGAAAAATAAATTTATATTCGACAACATCGCCAGCTATAAAGCTAAATTTCGAAGTCAACAAGTGTTTACAGGCTATGTTGCACTTTTAACTTATAACGAACAGTTGACATTCATTGAGTTCTACAGAGATCTAAATGCATGTTGGACATTAATTTACCAAGCAACAAAAACTGATTTTGATTCTTTGGCTATTCATCGATGCTGTGATCAACAGGGAATAATAAAGACCGTTAGGCAATCAACGAATAAATGTCTATTCAGAGATTATACACGAATTTAATGCAGTAGTTCAAAGTTAACTTATCGACAAGAGGCAACCGCATTTTTCTTTACACTAACTATTCTGCATAATCTTCCTCGAAAAATCATGTAAAATTGAAATTTAGAAATTAGTGAATAATTCCCGCGAAGCGATGATAGGCTTAAAAGATAACGTCATTATGAGTCGTGTCCGCATACACCGTACTGTTTTGTTTTTGTGTATTTCAATCAAAGAGTTCAGTGATGATGTATAGATGTTTTTCATTAAGTTTCATTTGCTTCAGTCGACCCAAAAAAGCCTATTCTCAAGTGAATAGCGTAAATCGTTTCGCGTGCAACTAAAATATTATCATTAAAGTAAAACTAAGATTATTCTAAATGTTTTCTTTTCTAATCTTTATGTTTATACAGATTATATTTATATGACTAGTCAAAAATTCATATAGTCACTTAAATATGAAAATAAATATTTCCACGCCCGTTGTGACATCAACCTCTTTGACGCATTCCTTTTTTTGATATTTTTATCTTAAAAACAAGCAAACTACCATTGGCTATATATTACATAAAAAAAGTGGTGTAAATTGTTTTTCTTTGTACGAAAACTGTTTTTTGTTGACTTTATAAAGATAAGTATATGCGCAGTGAGTTATCTTTATAGAATAGACATCTTCAGAGAGAAAAAAGTAATATGTTATAAGCGGTAAAGGGAATTAGTTTCTCATCTTGACCGACCTGCCTCTTCTCAAACCCATATCTAAGGTATGACGCTCGAATCGAATATAACATTTTGTATTAAATTAATTCAATATTGCGTTGAATCGGCCGAACAAGTAAAAGCAAATAAAATTTTATGTTCAGACTTAGCTACTGACTTAGCTGTTGTTCACGATATTTTAAAGAGTTTAAATCCTGTTGAAAAGCAACAAGCTGAAAAACACAGACTACGCGCGGTCTTGGTTAAACTTTGTCGAATCACGGGACAAACCAAAATTCTCTTCGAACGTTCTAAAAGTGGCAAGAAACGTATAAAAGTGAAAAATTTCTTGCAAGCTGTTTCAATTCAAGATGAGTTACGACGATTGAAAGCGGAAATGTTGGTTGTTATTACCATGTTCAATCTCGTTTTTAACATTAAACAACAGGTAGGTAAGATCGCCACTCTATTCCTACTTAATGCTCATCTCACTTTTAGTCTGACCGCTACAGAGGTTATGGTATTAATGCGCAACTGATTGATGAAACGATTTTTGATCAGGAAGATGAAAAAGACAATCAATCAGCCGAGGATTATTATGTTGTTGACGATGATTAGACCAGAAATACCATCTCATAAAGAAAAACAATTGAACGCGTTTAATTTTGCTTTTCAAATTTCTGTTCTTTCCTTTCGATCAATAAAATAATCTCTCTCAACTAAATTTGTAAAATTCTGATGCATTCAGGAAGGCTACCAGCTACCAGTATGTTACTTTAACGAACGTCAAGTAGTGAATTCGCTCTCGGTAAGTGTCGTAATCCAAGATAAAGAAAACACCATTAAATCTTAATATATTCAGTGAATATTGATTTTAGCGATTGAACCAAGGGGAAAAAAGCATACTTCTGTACTTCTGGTACTTCTCCGTACTTCTTGATACTTCTTCGTACTTCAGAAGTACGGAGAAGTACAAAAAAGTACGAAGAAGTATCAAGAAGTACGGAGAAGTACCAGAAGTACAGAAGTATGCTTTTTCCCCCTTGGATTGAACAAACTTTTAAAACATATGGATAGATACAGCTTGCTGAGCAAGGGCTACGAATATCCCCCTGGCCAGAAATAGTTAGACTCGGTATTTTGAATAAATTATCACCATAAACACCTGTGTTTTTGATAACATTTAGAAAACGATCACGCCTATAACGTCTGAGAAGGACTCGTTATTTTCACCCATGTGCTCCGTCGATAAAATATTTGTAATCAAATAATAGTCAATCATGGCTGGGAAAGCACAGGGTGATAGACGCTTTCATGTACTCCGAGATTATACACTGAGTTTTGTAATAACTTATTCGTATATTAAAAATAAGTTTGAAAAGATGAATGAAAAAGAGAAAAAAAATGTATTCCTGGGGAATCTGATGATGAGGGTGTCTTTGTTGAGCTTGAATTTTTTTTCCAGGAACAAACGCAATTCAAGAGTAGAGATGTGCACGGGTACCATTTTCGTACCCGTACCCGATCCGAAAATTTTTTTTCCACCCGTACCCGACCCGACCCGACAACTTTGTACCCGTACCCGACCCGACCCGAGAACTGTGTAC